TGTCGAATCATCTCCTTATGTTTCTTTCTCTCTTACCGTTACTTTAATATGCTAGAGAGAGATTCTTAAGTGTATATAAATATTAAAATGTTTTGCGAATATAAATATTTGTTGACGGCTTATGGAAAGATTATAATTTTTGCTAACGCTTAATTCAATTAATAAAAAGTATTTTATGAGATTTAAATTAAAAATAATAATATGTACAGATGTATAATTTTGCATGGTTATCTCAAAGAGGATAAAATATCACTCAATTAACATGTTAGTTAATGTTTTCTGAATTTGGACAATCTCTAAATCTCTAAATTGAAGGTGAATACCAGCAGGTTCTTACATGTACATAATTTGCAATTCATCACCTCTGTAATTATACTGGTTCTCTTGTTTTTATCCGAAGTGAATTTCGTCATCCGTAGCAAAAGTGGAATTAACGCGAAAAAATATGATGACGACGATTTTTTACGATATTAAAAGTGTAAAAAGTAAAACATCCCATCCACATAGTGACAGGTGATGAAACATAGATATATTTTTACATTCTAAACTCTCTGCGAGGCAAAATATTGGACTCTGGTAAAGATAGAATAGAATAATTTTCATTCAAAATGGATTACAAGTATAATCATTGAAAGTTATTTTTTTTTTATCGCAATTTACCTGGTTCGGCTAAATCATCTGTCCTGGAAAGAATCAACAAGAAATACAGCGGGACTCATATTAACCATTTCGCTATCCGACTATCCGTGCACTACATATTATAGGTCATTGCTAATTGTCTTAACTATTGTCTGAAAAAAGGGCAGTGAAAGTGTTAAATATTCATTTACCATATAATCTGCAATGTTGTACAAATTAGGAAGGGACAGAATGGTAGCGATCACCGCATTCCCAAGGGTTCTTATCAATTATTTAATTATTTATTATTTAATAATACCACTTTTAAAACAACTTTTGCTTAGTAAAATTTTTAAAAGTTTTGATAGATAAGCCCTGCATTTTTTTATATGGGGATACATTGCCTTATGAAGTAAATGACTCTTTCGACTCGAATAAGGGTGTTCCTAATGTTTATAGAATGTGCATTACTATATTTAATAAAACAATTTTTGTTAATGTGTACATATTAGGTATATTAAATTAACATAAACATACTAAGAGGTCATAGTTGACGTATTTATTTCCTTTGGACTTAGATTACATCTTATACAAATATAGTTTTAATGTCAGTCGATACCCCATAGCAAAATTTCATTTGACATTATGCTATAGAAATAACAAACAAGTAGTATTTTTTTATTTGTTTTTAAAAATGTTTGTATGTCAAAGGCGTAAATAAAAGATAATTTTGTCCATACATTAAAATAGCAACTTTATAGTCAATACGCGTTAACGTAAAATGCTTGTAGCGTTGTAAATAAAATATTAATAAAATAGTTAAGGCGTAAAAAGTTCCCATACACGAACACAGATATACACTGGCAAATAAACAGATGTAGTAGTCCCATATAAATTTGATCAAGGTCCGACCAATAGTTTTTGAGTTATTCTTAATAATTTATATTGAAGTCGGTTGTACAAAATTTTAAATTATTTCGAGGTTTTTTTAAATTTAAGTTATTTATACTTGTATACTTGACAACGTACATTCTGCAATAGAACGTTCAAACATAACTCCTTTAATTTCAACACACACATTGAACTTCGCCTTCCAGTTCTAATGGCGGACATATTTGTTTGCCTTGACACTTTCAAAATAGATTTCGGTAACTTTCGCGCTTTTTGTCTGAACTTCTGTCTATGAAACAAATTATGACGTGTCCATGTGGAATTTTGAGAATCTGTGGAACCGCAAGACACGTCGCATGCATCGCAGGACTCAGGTGAGCTACGCGGCGTTGGAGCAAAATGGACCCGCATCGACTGGCAGAGATTTATAAATTACTTGCTATTTCCACATCATAAAAAACTACTAAAATTCATTAAATTATTATATTATATAGCTATTATGCACCTAGATTCAAGACCGTAACGTTTAACTTATAAACATCTCGGTAACAACAAGCCCAAACACGTTCACTTTCAAGAGTAATGCGAAAATTATTCCAAATAAACTTTCTTGTTTTCGCGAATCTAAATTTTAAATTAATAAACACAGACTTGAGAGTTGTAAGAAATATTATACGAAGTGAAGTAATCCGCGGACGGCGAATAACTGATTTGACCACATACCATGACTAGTCTAGATAAGTGGAGATAGCTAAGAACTGTTAGACACTCAGCATGAAGGTATAACGGAGCTACTAAAAATACGCCAGCTGGCAGGTACAAATTTTATATAAAATCTGGCTAAATGTTAAGTTAGTAAACAAAACAATATCGCTATAACTTTGACAAAAATATATTTAAAAACGAACTAAACGATCATAGAATTTGCATCGCCTAGCAATTTTCAACTTTTAATGATCATTTAAATGCATAGGTAATTAAAACTGCACATTAGAAACTGTCACACGTAACGTCACTTCGAGAAAAGGCATGCGCTCGCCGATCACAAGGCCGTGTCCAAGGAATGTCGATAGAGAGTTAACAGCATTCTGACTATGTAGTAATGTTATATTTTTTTCTGCTTAGAAATAAATGTAGCCCGAAATATCTAACTACAGCTTAATGGGTACCATTTAAAAAAAACTAGCAGTAGCTTTTTTATGCTCACAATTAGAACTCTTCTTGTCTGTAACCAATAGGTAATGCAAAGTAATCAAAAGAAAGTACAACAAATGCATTAAGCCCAGCACAAGGAGCTAAAGCAAGAATAATTAAGGATTCAACGACTAGCAAATAAGATAACTATTTTAACATAAACATTTAAGACAACAGGTTATAACTATAAATCATAAACAACACTTAAGTAGAAATAGAAGATAATAATATCAACAACTTGATTAATAAATAAATCTAATAGTTCTTTTCTGCCGACTTCAAAAAGGAGATTGTACTCAATTCGACTGTTTTTTTTTTTATGTGTGCTACCTCATAACTTTTTACTGGGTGAACCGATTTCGATAATTCTTCTTTTATTTGAAAAGTGGTACTTCACATGTGGTCCCATATTAGGCCAGACCAATAGTTTTTGAGTTATTCTTAATAATTTATATTGAAGTCGGCTGTACAAAATTTTTAATTTTAAATTATTTAAATAATGCCTAATGCGTGTTTTTGAAAAAATAAAACGATGTATTATTTTTGTATTATGCATGTAGGCACTATTATTTTCACAATTCACATACACCAGTCACCAGTTACGTACGTGCTCAAATGATTAAAACGCAAACCTACACAACTAGGGTTACCAGATGAAAAAATTAAAAGTCCGGAAAAGAGGCCTGATTTCCATTTAAAAATCCTGAGATTGTTTTACATTTTGAGAAGAAAACCTTACTTAAAATGGTATCTTCACATATTAAGTATGATAAAGCTGTTTAAGTACCTACTTGGATAAATAAGTTTTGATTTTAATTGTGGAATTATTACCAAAGGAAAATTATTTTTAGTTTGTTTAACTTTTTATTAAAAGATCTTTTAAAATGTAAGCTGTATTATATTGAAAGTTCTAAAAATCCTGAGATTTCATGAGATTTGCAAAATCCAGCCGCAATTCTGAGAAGAGTTTAAAAATCCTGAAATCTCAGGACAAATCCTGAGATATGGTAACCCTATACACAACTAACTTATTTCGCATGCGGAAAATCTATTCTCGTGACATATCTTTTCAAGTTTCAATTGTCATTCTCCTTCTTCTTTCTCTTTTAAATTATGGCTTCTCTTGATAGGATTCTGCCAGTGTCAAGTTCACTTGTATTCTAAATTCTATTCAAGTCTATATAATCTAGGTATTCAAGACTATATAATCTAGATATCTAAAAATCTAGCTATCAATTGCCCATACATTATATGGGCAGTTGATAGCTACTCTCTGGCCAAGAAAGAATGATAGACGGAGAGTTGTGTACATTTAAATTGATGCTGAAATCTTTCATCCTTTTTCTTTATCAGCTCGTTAAAGTTTCCATAACAGCTGGACGTACACATATGCACCTAAACCATTTTGTTGGTTGCAAACGATTTTAGATGCATATGTACGTGTTCTTACAATAACTCGAGCATGGTTTTGGCTTTCCTTGAAATCTACGCAGCGCTCCGTCCCTTTCTTTATAGTAGTAACTATAAGTTAATATGCATATGCCAGAAAAACCATATGTCTTCATAAGTGGCGTTCTACCATCTCGTTTACGGCCCAAGCCAGCGATGAGAAATAGCTTCGAGGTGCGAGACGGCTGGTGGTACCTACAATGATAGTCAAACCGTCTGCCAATGTCCTATAACTCGTTTACAGGACTTTTACAGGCTGATGATGAATAGAAAGACTAGTAAAAAGTTAATGAGTCAAATATGCATGAAATTATAGTATATTTAAAAATAATAGTAAAAATCTATTAAAGTAAGGAATAAAAGATCATAGACACACGGCGAAAATTAAAAATATAACACAATGTATCATGTTTTTAATTATTGATTAGCCGTTCCCCGCGACTTCGCCCGCGTGGAATTTATTAACTTGATTTCATGGGTTTTAATTTTTTTGCGCGGAACCCTAATTATTTTCCTAAAATAAAAGTTGCCTAAGTTAATCCTTATAACATCAGCTATCTGTCAGTGAAAGTCCCGACAAAATCGGTCCAGTCGTCTCGGACCGTTCTTGGTCGACCGGAACAAACAGACAGACATATAGACAAAAATTTAAAAAAAAAATGTTTTTTTGTTATTAGTACCCGGTATATACTTACATATTATGTATTTAGTAAAAAGCAGTTATTTTGAAATTACAAGCGGACACATCAATTTTATTTATTTGTATAGATATTATGGTATCTATCACCCGATTTTGTGCATTTCGAACCATAAGTTTGCCAGTTGCTTGTGATTGATATTTTTCTCACCTGTCCATTGACGACGGCGCTTACAAGAAGCACTCTTGCCGCACGGTGTACCTCCACCAGCTCACCAGGCAGCGGGGCCGAAGCGCCCGCTGGCTGGAACCACACTGCAGCTCCCTCCGACCACTCCGCGAGCCCCCCCGAGCCCGCCATGCTGCTAAAAAGACAAATTAAATTCTCAGACAAATAAATACATTACACTATAACTCACTACACTTTGATTCGGTGATTTGATTTAATTCGGCGGTTTAAGAATATCCACTGCCACATATCATCTCGTGTATGTACCCAAGAGGTGCCAGAAGGAAGCTTTACCAGCAGATGGGTAGCTGAATAAAAAAAACTGCGGTCTCTAACCCGCTTGACAAGAGTGGCGACTATAGCAATATTAAGCAATCTATGAGGGAGATCTACGTCCAGTAGGGGACTTGGGAACTTTTGTTAGGCTCTGTGGTAATGGTACACTATAATTCAAAATAAAGATAGTTAAGTACTACTAACTATTTGTAAAACAGTCCTAAACACCCTAAAACGCACAAGCCTTTTACATACACTATTTAGAATAACATCCAAAAGAGAACTAAGCAATGTGGATTTCAATACATCTAATGACTTTAGAGAAACCAGGTTATTAATTAATGGTTTGAACGAGGTTGACATCATTTATATTTAAACTTGTTTGGGTTTTAATTCGGGTTCATAGTACATTATATATTCATAAACCAATGCCGGAGATTTTATGATAAACATATAAACATATTTTTGAACGTTAATTACTTAATTTATTATTAATTTAAAAAAAAATCAATTTACGAAAATTTAATTTAGCTATAAAACATATAAAATATCTATATCTTTAAATTAAACTTTATGCCAATTAATTTCTCCTTAAATTTTCTCTTAGAATCTGTAATTGCTTCAGGTTTATTACTATAAATTAATTTACTATTAATTTATTTTAAAATTAATTTTCGAAAATTTAATTAAAAAAATTAATTATATATTAACTAATAACAATATACGTAGAGCAATTACGGATTCTAAGTGAGCATTAAGGAGCAATTAATTGCCATACAATTTAATAAAAAAAAACATCCAACTTCTTGCTGCAACTTCCTTGCGGTGATTTTATCGCGTTAAATTATCATATTTTATACTTCTGGCGTTTCCAGAGCTTTGCAGCACCCGTGGTCACAGAGAAACTGTCTCGGGAGTACAACATTTTCAAAATACAACCCGATGAAATCAGTAAAAATTGTTTTGATTCAATATCTAGTATCCGCGTAACATAAAAATATTTTTTTTTGACGGAATAAGGGTGATAAACCAGCACACAGTCCACCTGTTGGTAAGTGGTTGCTGTGGCCTGTGGCCCATAGACATCTACATCTATCCTCGTTTGCGAATCAAAATGCAGATGAGTAATCGCCCCTGAGGACTAAGATGGAATGCCTCATTTCCAGTAAAAAGGGTCTTCGGTTCTCTACACTCACCTCACGAAACACAGCAGCATTAAGCTGTTATTTACGCTGGTATTCTGTGAGAGCGTGGTTCTTCCACCATGGAGCCGACCCATTCGTGCTACAATACTATACTATTTTTACGGTACACTTAACAAAACTATAATCCAAAAGCACAATACTTGAATAAAGCATATACCTTAGTAACGGTGAACTTTCTTTTATCTTAATATCAACAGTTTATCACCGCTCTATGTATACATACGTGATAATGCTTTATTGTAGGTCGAACGTGTGTGGTGTCATTGACTTTGGTTGTGTTTCTAGCATGTCACACACACACTACAGGACTTGTGTCTTTATACAAGCGTAGAGAATTTCATAGAAAAATGACAGTTTTTTTTATGCTTTCGTTCGCGTGGAATTTTATAGTACCTTATGTGTAGGGTTTTTATTATAGGATAAGGGTGACAAACGAGCACACAGTCCACCTGATGGTAAGTGGTCGCTGTGGCCCATAGACATCTACATTTATCCTCGATTACGAATCAAAATGCAGATGCGTTGTCACCCGTGAGGACTAAGATGGAATGCCTCGTTTCCAGTAAAAAGGGTTTGTAAAAGATAAGATTAATTAAATCGGTAATTGTCTAGTTTTTTTAAAATTTCCCAAAATTTGCTTGAAAGATTTAATAGAAAAACTAGGGTATACACCATTTCAATAATGCACGCAAACCTTCCCGAATAATGTTTCTTTGTAGTGGGTTTCCGCAAATTAATAATATCCTTGGTTCTATTAACTCTTAAAACAGTTTTGTTCTTAAAGGGTACTGATACATACGTTTTAAATATATGAGTAGGTATATATTCTGTGATTACCTTTAATGATTGTATATTTAGATAAAAGCCACCGATCTTAATAAAAAAGGTGAAATTTTAATTCCCAAATGATTTAGTAGTTCCAAGCCAACCAGGCTCAATGTTTACAAACTATTGCAATGACTACCGAACATGTTATTGAATCGTTAAACAACAAAACTAAGCAAAACAGGGTCACATTCGTAACACACACATTTTACTATCGCTAATGTAACAACGGAAAATTGCGGAGGCAGGAAAAGATAAATTAAACATCGGACGTTTGAATTGCTCATCCAATTTAAATACCACAAGAAACATGTTTTAGTCACGTTAGTACGTACACGTCAAAACATGACGACAAGACAGTACAATCAGTGCGTGTTGCCAGTGATGAAATAGATCTGAGACATTGTCCTTCACCGCTGGCTGCATAAGGAAGCTCAAGGTCGCTCAATGAGGTATGAGTATGAATAATTCGAAATAAATATATATCCACAGTAGGACCAGAGTAACTGACATAGCCCAACGGATCAGTAAACTGAAGTAGCAATGGGTCGGATCTATAGTAGAAGTTGCTTAAATGCTGTACGTGCTTCACGCACACACAAACACTCACGCCTGTCACCCAGAGGGGTAGGCAGAAACTACGGACTTTCATTTGGCGCGATCCTGACACACTTCTCTCGCCTCCTTTACATCCATATATCTAAGCATACACGCTCGTCGGTTAAGGGTACTCCTAATCTGGTCCATTTTCAATATATCGCCGATGTGGTCGATAAACCTTCGTCTAGGGCGTCACTTGCGTGCTTCACGATAAAAGAAAATATCGTAAGACCTCCTAAAAATAAAAAGGGACAACAAATGGGCTACAGTAATACAGGTAATATTGAAATTGTGAATTGAAAATTTTAGATACTATCCTAATCAAAGAATAATTCACATAAGGCGACGTAGACATCTACTCTGTTTAAGTTCGTAAATAAATGGTTTTTTTTATAAGATAAGTGTGACAGACGAGCACACAATACACCTGATGGTAAGTGGTTGCCGTGGCCCAAAGATATCTAATTCTATCCTCAATTAAGAATCAAGATGCAGATGCGTTGTCACCCTTGAGGACTAAGATGGAATGACTCGTTTCCAGTAAAAAGGGTCGCCAGTTCTCTACTCTCACCAAACGAAACACAACAGCGTTAAGTTGCTATTTTTCACCGATATTCTATGAAAGCGTGGTCCTTCCCAGGTTGAGCCGACCCATTTGTGCTACAATTATACCAGTAAAATAACTGGAGCATGGCTCTACCACGTACAATATTAAATCATATACGAATCAAACAACATAACAATTTAATAGAAATAACCATTGTATTAATTTCTTTAATGTGTTATCAATTATCATCTTTTAACTAGGATAATGATATTTGTAAATAATACATGGAATAAAAAAATCAACTCTGAAGTTTTGCTAATCGAGTTCTTTTATAATTATAGAGAGAAAAGAGCCTTCAAGAAAAGAGCCTACTCCTTTTTAAAAGGCCGGCAACGCATCTGCAATTCCCCTGGTTCCCCTGGTGTTGCAGTTGTTCATGGGCGGCGGTAGTCACTTACCATCAGGTGGGCCGTATGCTCGCTACTAAAAGAAAGAAAACTGAAAGTATAGCGAATACTATATAACTTTTATGATTTCAATCAAAAAACAGAAAAGGCTGGCTCTTTCGCGTTGAATAATATACATCAATATAATATCTTCTTGTTTGCAATTAATTTTCTTAAATTATAAAAAGATATTATTTGATAAGGGATTTGCAACTATTTGGTGGTAGGATTCCGTTCCTATTTAGGAGTACGTCTGGGAAGGTACTACAATCTTACCTATTTCTGCCGCCAGATGGCAGTGATACCCTTCAGATCGGGACACTTGATTTATTTCGATCTGAAGGGTCAAGAGAGTCTGTGATACATTTTATCTTAGCCCTCAGAGGTGACAACGCATCTGTAGCCTTCTTTGTTTGAAATTGGCAGCAGGTTTCTTCGCACTGCAATAGTCACTTACTACTGTTACTGTAAGTTCGTTTGTCACTTCAGTTTAATAAAAAAAAAAAACTATATTTATTCATTAGATTTACGATAAGATTTTTCTAACGATATACAACATTTAGGTTATAAAGTCATACCTACTCATTATGATGTTACAATACAATTTTCGTTTTCTTTTTTAAGATGATTACACTAACCCGGCATGTTGCATACCTGATGTCACATTCTTGAAAAGACTACACTCAAAGGCTTATAAAGCAAAGTAAGATAATTTTTTACACATAGTAGATGATAAAATTGTGGCGGCGCCACAAGCGAAACACATCGAAGCCTAAATCGCGCTAACAAATTTCCGAAGTTAAATCTGTATACGAGTATATAGAATAGCTCCGAACTACAACTCGGAGCGCTGGCCGCTCCCCGGGCAGAACATCTTGCCCGGCGGGACATCTGCCCTTTTCTTTCTACCTGCCACAAATACCTATTCCTGAGTAGTACATAGTATTAGGAAATAAGTTTCCCGGAGGCTAATGATGCAATTAAATTAAATTTAAAAAAATACTTCCTTCAATTTGTAATTTTGAATTAAAATTTAAAATTACAAATTGAAGGAGGTCGAATAATTGAATTTGCGCAATAAAACAATTAATTACAAATAAACAACGAAACGGCGGATTATTTTTGTAACAATTTAATATATCTTAAAGTTAATATAATATAATATCTATATAATATTATTTTACATAACTTATAAACTACTTAACAATGTTACATTCGAAATCGAATTATAAA